CACAGCCGTTCAGACCCCAGTAAACACACAGAGGCTTATATTAATTAAAACTGCTCAGCCATTAGCTCAGGCTAACTACTGACTAGCCCTTACACTTAAACTCAGCCCATTTCTGTTAATCTATATGTCATCACGTGTTCCATGGCTTTACCTGTGTGCCATTACATGCTGCTCCCTGGACAGTGGGCTGGCATCTCCTGACTTATCCTTCCTCTTCCCAGAATTCTTGTCTGCTTATCCTTCCTATACTTCCTGCCTGGCTAATGGCCAATCAGTGTTTTATTAAACCAGTATACAAATCATTATTCCATAGCACAGGACAGACACCAAAACTGCATAGAGAAACCCTGTCTCAAAAAAAAAAAAACAACAACAACAAAAAAAAAAACTTTCAATTATTCAAATCCCTCTCTCATCTTTAAGATATGAATGTAGGTTGTAAATTCATAAAAAAAGTTTAAATTTACTACCCCATGGCTAAAAATATCTACACATCCAAGATAAGGACATCAGCTTTCTATTACTGTGATTAAAAAAAACAACAACAACAACAACAAAAAAACTCTGAAACTATCAACTTAAAAAATGAAATTTTTCATTTGGGCTCCTGGCTTCAGAGATTTCAGTCCATGGTTGTTTGGCCCTGGTGCCTTGGTCTGAGAGGCATAGAATGTTCTGGAATGAGTTTGTGACAAAGGAAGTCTGTTTCCCATATGACAGATTGAAAGTAAAGAAAAAGACAAAAAAAAGTGGGGGGCTATGGTCCTAATCTCCCATTTAACCTAGCTTGCTTTCCCTAGGGCCCACTTCTTAAAGATCCTGTGTCATCTGCCAGTAGTGTCAAGGACTTGAAGGCCAAGCCCTCAACACATGGATCTTTGATATACACTCAAGATCCAAAGTATGCCAGTGTAACTAGTAAGATTGAGCAGGCCGGGGTGGGAATTTAGTTCAATGGTAGAGTGCTTGCCTAGCAAGTGCAAGGCCCTGGGTTTGGTCCTCAGCTCCGGGCTGGGGGCGGGGGTGGGATGGGGGTGGGATTGAGCAGGCCTACGGAACAGGAAGTGAGGAGAGAGGGCTGTAGTGACATGGCTAAAAGTGGCCATCGCTGTATATGCCATCGTGAAGCATATAGCTGACTCTAAAATCAGGAGCTGGTATTTCTGGGTTTTCCAGTTTTACAAGAGAAACCAGAAATCCTAAGTTATATGATCCCAGTGTAACAAAAAAAAAATGTTGACAGTTAATCCAAGCTCTTTTGCAATATTTTTTGCTTAAAAAAATGTCAGGCCATTGAAATGAATCAGTGGGTGAAGTGTTTACCATACAAACCTGACACACTGAGTTCCATCTTAGTAATCTAATTAAAGATGGAAGGAGAGACCCCATTGTACAAAGTTGTTCTCTGACCACCACAAGCACACACATGTACTCACAAACAATAAATAAAACAGAGCTTAAAAAAAAAAAAAAGACTCATAGTTCTTCTCTCAGCAATCATAAATTGCCTACTTCCTCTCAGAGTAGGACCTTATGAAATTTCCCCCGTCCATGTTGGCATGTCCGCTGCTGTTGTCACTGTTCAGTTCCTGTTTAGAAGACCATATCATTGAGATTTCACAGCTGCAATTTCCCTGTCCTAGATAGAAGACACTATCTCACAGCAGATGTCCTGGTCCTTTGGCTCTGAAAATCTTGTTGTCCCCCTTTCGGTGATGTTGTCTGAGTCTCAGGTGTAGCAGGAGTGGTGTTGGAGATGTATCAACTGGGGCTGGGTACCCCATGGTGAGTTGTTCTCTGCATTTTGATTTCTATAATGATCTCTGTCTGCTACAAAAAGGAGCTTCTTTTATGACAGGTGAGAACTGCACTTGTCTGAGGGGGTGAGCATGAGTGTCTGGAATACAGTTAGAACTGTGTTAGTTTAGTCTTCTGCAGGGATGAGCCAATCCCAAGGCTATCCAATCCCAAGTACTCAGCCTTAAACATATACATTTATGTATAAGCGGCATTAAATAGGTTTAGCTGTGTGTGTGTGTGTGTGTGTGTGTGTGTGTTTACAAATCTGAGAGGAAGTGGGGAGGCATAAGAGATGTTGGAAAGGGAAAGGGGAGGTGTGTAAATGATGTAAATAAACTACTCGTATATAAACTTAAACAAACAAATAAGTAAAATAGAACAGCAACTTCTTTCCAGGTTGTCTGCTGGCAACTCATTTGAAAACAGACTTAATAAAAAGTAACACATCCAATGGTGAACAGAACTGATCAATAGCTTAACCTATATAAGATTCATGTCTTTGGGGCTAGGAAGAAGCTCAGTTGGTGAGTTTGCCTGGCAAGCATAAGGACCTGAGTTTGAACCCTAGACTCCACATTTAAAAGGTTAGATGCAATCGTGTTCACTTATAATTCCAATCCCAGTGAGTTGGACAGACAGGATGGGTAAATGGCTGGGACTAGTTACCCTGCCAGCCTAGCCTACTTGATAAGTTCCAGGTCAATTAGAGACACGTTCTCAAATCACAAGGTAGATGGCAACCGAGGAATGATACCCAAGTGGTCCCCTTGACTCCATGTATATTCACATCACACACACACACACACACACACACACACACACACACACACACACACACCTCACATCTTTCATTTCAGAGACCTCTGAAATGCTCTGTGGTTTGCATAAGAACTGTTCCCTCAGCATCAATGAGTTTGAACACTTAGTGCCCTGTTTTTCAGTGCTTGCCGGTTGTGCTGGTTTTGAAGCTTGTGGAACCTGTAAAGGTTGGAGCCTCTCTGGAGGAAGTGAGTCACTGGGGACAGTCTTGAGGTTTATGGAGCTGCTGTGTGCTTCCTGACTATAGTCACAACATAACCAACTGTGCCACACTCCCATCACCCCTGCCTTCTCTACTCTAGACACTGTCCCTTTTTAAATTGCAAACCAAAATAGATGCTTCCTCCTGCAGTTGCTCTTCTCTTGAAGTTGCATTTTGTCAGGCATGTGGTCAGAGCAACAAGAGAAACAGCTAATGCTTCCCTTTTCTCCCTGTATCTCTAGTAGGTCTCTTAATGCTAATGTATTATATTTTCTGCTGTATTCTGGGGGCCACAAAGCTGATAGAGCCGCCTTTTCTCAGATCACAATGACCTCCTTAACTCTAGAGCATTCTTCTGCTCCAGTCCTTCAAATCTTCTCACCCAAGGTGTCAGCACTAAATTCATCACCTGCCATTCAATCCTTTGATCTCAACCTGCTTCCTTTTGCTTTCCTCTGGCCCCTCTGGTCAGGCTGCATCCTGGTTGTTCCATGAGCAAACTACTCTATCCTGGATAAATTATCCATTAGCCTCAGAACTCTTTCAAGTAATATAGAAACAAATAATGCTAGAGCATAGTAGCATCATTCACCTAGAAGTGCTCTTGGAATGATTAAACGAATTAGTGCAGATTAAAGGCAAAGACTTTAAAATCCTAGTTATTTATTAATACTAACTCTTCTAGACACCAAAATGTCTTTAAAATGGAATAATATTCTCTTCCTCCAAAATATTAACAAAATAATAAATGTGAGTAATTGGAGAATCTGAATAATCAAAAAACCTTGCCCATAGACCAGAAATGGAGCCAAAATAAAAAGTACTGAGTGTATTCAAGGTCATTTAGAGTCCTGGGACAGAAGTAGAAAATGACTGTGGAAAGCTTGGCTTCTGATGATAAATAGTGACTTAAAGGGGTTAAGGCTAGGGGAATTGGAGCCATGCTCCCTGGATGGGTTACCTTAACATCTAAAAAGAAAGGGAGCTTTTAAGAAGTTGCAAGAGCCAAACAACCATCTTCTGTATCCAGAGGGCCTAGTCCAGTCCCATGGGGGCTCCACAGCCACCAGTCCACAGTTCAGTCCACTAGTGTGGCCGGTCATCTCTGCACATCCTCCCATCATGATCTCGACGTCCCTCACCTGCAGTATCTCTCCTCTCTCTCATCAATTGGATTCCCGGAACTCAGCCTGATGCCTGACTGTGGATCTCTGTATCTGCCTCCATCAGTCACTGGACAAAGGCTCTATGATGATGACAGCTAGGTTATTTGCTAGGCTGGTCACTAGAGTAGACCGGTCCAGGCACCCTCTGGACCACTGCCAGCAGACCAAGGTGGGGTCAACCTTGTGGATTCCTGAGAGCCTCCCCAGCACCCTGCCTCTTGCTACATTTTATTATCCCATTCAAATCCCATTCTTCTGCTTTAAATAAACAATATTAACATGCATTCTGTATTAGTTATATATACATATATTAGTTAAACAAATTAATAATTGGCAATGTTTATTATGTGTATGATATTATTTATTAGTTTCTATAACTATCTTTTCATTTAAAATTAAATATTAGATTTATCTAACATTAAAAAAAAGAAGTTGCAAGAGTCAGGCATCAGGCATGGTGATGCATGCCTTTGATCCCACCACTCCAGAGGTAGAGGTAGGCAGATCTCTATGAGTTCAAGGCCAGCCTAGTCTACAGAGTGAGTTCCAGGGCAGCCAAGACTACATAGAGAGATTCTGTCTCAAAAAAACAAATAAATAAAAAAAAAAAGTTACAAGAAACACTGAAGCTAAAAAGCATAAACAGGATAAGACAGAGTGAAAAAGAAAAAACACCTTAACCTCACATATATTGTTATGTAAAGCATAGTCAGCTGGGCAGTGGTGGCACATGCCTTTAATCCCAGCACTTGGGAGGCAGAGAGAATCTCTGTGAGATCAAAGCCAGCCTGGTCTACAAAGTAAGTTCCAGGATGGGCTCCAAAGCTACACAGAGAAACCCTGTCTTGAAAAACCATTAAAAAAAAAAAGAAAAATGAAAAGCATAGTCAAAAAATGTACAGTGTCAATAGTGAAGGGATTGGCTCAGTATTGGCTCAAGACACCCAAAAACCAAGTTCTCAGCACAAAGGAGGTTTATTTGGCCAGGAGGGACAAAGGGCAGGAATAAGAGACAAAGACAGGGGATAGAGGATGAGGGAGAGGAGGAAGGTCAAGTAAAGTACTGGGAAGGATTTGTTTTATTTTAAATAAAAAGAGTAGTGAAAAGAGAGAAATACAAGATTGAGAAGATTCAATATAATGGAAATTCCAGATATCAGGATGGCAGAGATGGAATAACAGCTGCAAAGTCACATTAGCTATGTTTCCACAACTGCCAAACAAGAGTCCTCCTATAGGAAGTAATATCGGACAGACAGACAGATAATCCCAGCGATACCCTTGTGAAACACATCAAAAATAAAAAATAATAATAATAAAAATGTGTAGACATTATTTGCAAAAGCAAAATGATAGACTTTTCCTAACAAAAATAAAACTAAAAAGATACAACCCTAACTTACATGTTAACAGAAAATATATAATTCTACATACACCCAAACTACTTTATTGTACATCTAAGGCATATCAGAAAACAACTGTCTGTTATGTGACAAGACATTTTCTAGTGAGAGGCAAGACACACATGTCTACTCACCCCAGATAGGAAGCCCATGATAGACCAATGTACGGATACCACCAAAGTCCAATTTAGTGAATCAATGAGCTTTATTGGGATTACTTACAGGAATATGGGTGAGGAGTTACTTACAGCAGCATAAATGACTCAGAGACAGCTGCATCATCAAAGCCTACCCCAGCATGGGTGACACCTCACAAAAGCTGGGAACCTGGAGCACACTGCACAGCCTGTAGGCAGCTCAGCAGGTTGGAGAGTATCCTTTCCAGGTGCCTCAGTTGGTCTAAACCCGGTCCAGGCAGCTGGACTGGCTACTGCTACCTTCAGGTTGCTCATCTGTTTTCCGTTTCTCCCAGGCAGGTGGACTACTCTGAGAGTCTTTCTTGCAGCTTAGCTCATCCGAGAGTGACTGTCCATGGTCTTTATTGTTTACTCTTGGGGGTGAGAGAACCTAGTCAATCTGGTCAGTTTCAGGGACTTGATGAAGTTATTTTGAGTTGTTTATCTGATGGCTAAAGACGCTTTCAATCTTAGAGAAAATGGCTACACTACACTTTCAGACTCACAGAAGTTCAGCTCTTCAGATCTATTTTTTATTACTGCCTGACAAATTCCCACAAGGTTAAGAGCTTAACAGAACATACACTTGTTATATGATAGTGTCTGTGGGTGTGGAATCTAGGCATGAACTAGAATGCCTGGTTAGGGCTGTGATTAAGATGATGGTCAAGGGCTGGAGAGATGGCTTAACAAGACGATGGCCAAGTGAGACAACAGAAGGCTCAAGTGGTAAGTGATCCACTTCCGGCTCTGCTTAGTTGCTGGCAGGATCTATTTGCTTCAGGGCATTTGAACTGAAAAAGATAGTTCCTCAGATCCTTTAGAGGCTATTCACTGATTTTGTCCCTCTCAACAGAGTAGCATACAAGATACTATGCTTCATTAAAGGCATCATGAGAATCTACTCTTTACTCAGAAGTTTCTATCTCTTGAAATCTGCAACATCGTTTATGTAAATCACATTGACCTGAAACTCAAAGTTGTCTTAAAATTTCCAACAGTATTTGCCATACCTTCTGAAGGGCTCTATTAAGCCTGAGCATGGCAAACATGGCTCAGGGAGGCCTTGCCCTTCCCCATTCCCTCTGCCTTGCTATACTGTTAGATTAAATACATAAAGCCAGCCACCAAGGTCTATTCCCTTATTTGTCCACTTCCTCCCTTTCCCCAAGGCTGACCACCAAGGTCCAGCTACCAAAGTATTGAAGTTCAGCGATCAAAAGCCAGCTCCCTTTTGGCCACCATAATTAACATGCCCAATCAAGACAAACCACTCATCCTAACTCAAGCTTTCCCATTTTCCCTTATAAACTGGCATTTGCCTATGGGCCACATCTGTCTCCACTCTATCCACAGAAGTCTTTTGTCTCTCCAGGACAACATATCCCTTCCCTTCTCCCTTCCCCCTTTTCTCTTCTCTCTCTCTCTCATTTTTGTTTTTTGTTTTTCAAGACAGGGTTTCTTTGTATAACCCTAGCTGTCCTGGAACTATGTCTGCTGTAGACAAGGCTGGTCTGGAGATCCCCCTGCCTCTCCCTCCTTAGTGCTAGAATTAAAGGCGTACAATACCACTGCCCAGCTGTGTCTTTGTCTCTTATTCCCTGCCCCCTTTCCCTCTGGGGCAAATAAATCTCCTTTTTGCTGAGAACTTGGTCTTGGTGTGTCTTGTGCTGATTCCGGTCATGACATCCTTCAAAGAAAGGCACTACTTTTTGTTGTTGTTGTTGTTGTTTTTTCGAGACAGGGTTTCTCTGTGTAGTTTGGGTGCCTGTCTGGATCTCGCTCTGTGGACCAGCCTGGCCTCAAACTCACAGAGATCCGCCTGGCTCAGCCTCCCCAAGAGCTGGGATCAAAGGCGTGCGCCGCCGCGGCCGCTGCCACCGCCGCCGCCGCCACCACCACCCCCCAGCAAGTCACTACTTCTTTAAATATGATTGCCCTAATGCAATCCAGTCTATATGCAATACTAGATCTAAGAACTCTTTATGCTTAAAGTCCATCCCCTTGTAACTGATCAAGACAGAATTGGGGTTATCTGTTGTATCTGTGGCTCAATAAAGCACATTTATAAAAAAGGTAATAAAAATGGAATGAAACAGGGCTCCAAAGAACAAACATAAAGAACTATTTGTTTACACCCACTATACATATAGAGAAAACTATCAGATAGATGACGAAGAAGAAAGAGAAGGGGACAAGAGAGAAGGAATGGGTATTTGTCTCAGAGGGACAAGGGACTGCCTCTGGATAGAGAGGAGACAGATGTGCCATATAGAAAAATGGTGGTTTATAAAGGTAAAGGGGAAAACCCTATATGAGGATGAGTGTGGGATGACTCATCCCTAACGGGCTTGAGGGCCAGACAGCCCAAACAAGTAAAAAAGATACTTTCTGAGAGCCAGCCTGGGTCTGCCTGATGGTCTTAGCAACAGCAGCTGAAACATGATCTGGAGATGACCTGGACCAATGAGAGACAGCCATGTCACACCAGATGATGCATATTCATCAGACCTCCCCCAAGGGTGGGGTGGAGGGTATATAAAGCTTGCCTCTTCCTGAATATACTGAGTTTGCTGTTTCGACATTCTCCCCGAGTCTGTGTGGTTTGACTCTGTGCCTACTTGGCCCCCACCCCCAAAGGGAACAACAACAAGGACCTTGATACTGATGAGGTGTTTAATTTTAATTGGGCACATTAATTAAGACAGCCAAAAGGGGCTTTTGATTGTTGGGCTTCAATACTTCAATACTTTGATAACTGGACCTTGGTAATCAGTCCCAGGAGGAGGAAGTGGCCAAGTAAGGGACCAAATAGATCTTGGGGGCTAGTTTTAGCAATGTAATCTAACAGTTTTTAGCAAGGAAGAGGGAACTGGGGAGAAGGGCAAGGCCTGCCAGAACCATGCCCACCTACACTGGAGCTGGCCAGAGCCTCTTCAATGCCTGCTTGCAGAGTAGCATTTATTTTTGTACCACTGAGAGTGAATTCCTGAGACTGATAGGATGTTGATGTTCTAATAAAGCAACGGGGTGATCACTAGAGGGCACAGCTGGGTCATCCTTAGATGTATCAATAGAAGGAAGTTTCTTCAATTTATATCTAAAAGGAATCTATAGTGTCATTTCACTTTTGAGGCACACAGCTAAATATGTTGATTTTTCAAAAAATGTAAAATGTCCATCTTATTTCCTGGATACAGATAGTTTAGGAGTGGGAGAAAAAAATTCCATCAGCAGATTAGGCACTGTTTCATATCTGGATTCCAATGTTATTTACTTACGTGTTTTGTTTCATTTTCTGGTTCCTAAGTCATACCTGTTATGTTTTAACATGTAAAACAAAGTAATATATCTACTCATTTTAAAGTTCTGTTTCAGTGTTTTTGTTTTGTCTTTTCTACTTGCTGGCTTGCATTGCAGACACCACTTCCTTGATGGTATATTTCCATTTCTTTTAAGCTTCAACTAGTAACTAACCTTAGGAAATAATAAAAGAAAAAGCAATCTCACTAGCACACAAGATCACCACTGTGCTGCTGTGATTGGTAGAATTCTGAGATCTTACAACTTTACATAGAACTTTCTGTTTCCAGTTAAATTTCCTGTTCTGTTTGTTAATCAAAGCAGCAAGAGTTTTCTTCGTGGCAGTTTTGCACCCACAGCCTGTGAGGTGTGGTGTGGAGACGGGCTGCAGACAGGCCTGTTGCCAGTGCCCCCTTAGGTCACCTTCACCACCCACAGCTTCCACCCCTACATCCTCACTACCTTACAAACTCCTTTCCTGGGTCCTTCTCTCAAATCCAACTAAAGACTCTTGAATATCTGAGCAATGGGAGAAAGGATAGAGAAATGTAAAGCAAAACCAAACTCATATTTTAAAAATACCTTTAAAATACAGATGGCAAGGTGGCTTAGCGGGTCAAGGCAATTGTCTGACAAACAGTGGAAGAAGAAAACCAGCTCTCTCAAGGTTTCTTCTGCTTTCCTCGTGTGTGCTGTAGCACGAGTGACAGGCACAGGCACACACTCACACACGAAATAAGTAAGTGATAAATTGTAAAACTTTACAATCTCGCTAGAAAGAAGTATCACTCATGAGAGGCTAGGTAACTGACAACAGAATGATGTGTTTGATATTAAACCTATGTTATGAATTTCCAGAAGGGCATTAATTTTAAAAGGCTGACTCACTCTCCTTTGTAGACTTGTCCACTGGTGTGCTGCACATGCCCCAGAGGATGGCCAATACCCATGTACATGTGGGCAGCACTAATTGAACTCGGGGTTATTAACAACAACAAAAAGAGGGTATGAAGTTGGGAGAGAGTGGTGGAGAGATGTAGCGGTGGAGGCATAGGATGGATACACACCATGTACATGCATGAAACTTTCAAAAAGAATCTTTTTTAAAGAAAATTTTGACTCATTGTCACTCCATATGTTAAAATGGGTTCAAGTCTAGTGTTAGCTGTGACATCTTTGTGAGTTCTGATGGAATGGATTATAAGCTTTGCAAGCACTCTTAGTGCTCTGGAATTCATGTTCCTTACATGTAAAATGTGAAAAGCAGTGTGAGCCACTTAGAGCTAATGTAAGGATTATATTTTCTGGGGCAATATACAGTAACTATTTAGTGATAATGGGTACTTGCATAACAAACATATATGAAAATGTGTTGAGAATGTTTCAATGGAGAATCTCATCACTAAGGCTCTATATCACATGTTCTGCTAAACATGAGACGGAGATGAATCGTTCAGGAATTGCTTCCATGGATTTATTGTCTAATGTGGATAATGACATTGAAATTACAAACATTCGGTTGTGTGTGGTATAAATATACAGATATAAATAATTAGGAATACATATAGTCCTCAAAATTTGACCATTAGGACTATAAATGTAGGCATGTATCACTTAATAACCAGACATGTTAAGATAATGTTACTTGATTCATCATTAAGAGAACATCATAGAATGTACTTACACAGACCCATAAGGTATTGCAATACCAGCCTAGGCTATATTAGCCATCATTATATAATAAACCCAGTCCACTGCTGAACAAAACACCAATACATAGTTCATGACTGTATACAGTATTGACTAATCAGCCTATGGTATTGAAAGATTCTACAATGGTACTGTGAATTTTCTTATGAGAGATGAAAGACACATGATTCACATTTTCTTGCAGTCCAGAAGTCAAATCATAATGGGAACATTTTTTTCTGGCAAGGATGATGAATGTGTGCTTTGACTAAGACAAAGCTGTGTTGACATTCTGGCTCTCACTTCTGACTGTGTAACCCACTTTCTAGCTGACTGTGTGTCTGTGTATCTATGGGTCTGTATATGTCTGAATGGAAATCCTACCATCTACCTAAGGCTACCTCTTCTTCCTTATAGCTGGAAAGTACTCCTGATTAGATATCTCTGCTTACGTAGAGCATAGGTTACAGAAGTTTCTATTTCTTTTATCATTGCTCAAAATTTCATTCATGGTTTATGTCTAAATTTTAGTATGTATGACTTTGCATACATATATATTTGGCATATGTATAATATTTTATTTATTCTTTAAGAACTTCATAGATATGTACAATGTATTTTGAACAGATCTATCACCCATTCCTCCCTCCAATTGTCCTCAGACCACCCTCCAACACAAACCCCTCCCAATTTCATGTCATCTTTTTTTTTCAATAACCCCCAAGCCCAATTAGTGGCCATGGGTGTAGGCAATGTACCACTGGCCACAAAACCAATGAGAAATAACTCCTCCCCTTCGCCATCAACTGCCAACTCAACTAGAGAATGGATGGACCTCTAGAACCTGTTCTCTACGTGCATGGATTTCTGATCCTTTATATGGTTCTGAATAGTTACCTCCTGTGGTAGACACGTCTGTAATTCTTTTCTTTCCATCTGGTAGCGGCATCCTTATTTCCTCAGATGACCTTCCTGTTTTTCATTCTTATGGTCTTCAGGACTCTTGACAATCATGGAAACTTGACCTCTTGTCTGGAGCCATTGGATCCAAAATAAATAAAATATGAGTCCATGGATTTTTTTGTTTTATTTTGTTTAGATTTATTTATTTTATTTTATGTGTATGGGTGTTTTCCTGCATGTGTGTCTGTGTACCACATGTGTGCAATGCCAAAGGAGGCCAGAAAAGGGAGTTACATTAATTAAACCAGAGTTACAGACAGTTATAAGCTTCCATACAAGTGCTAGGAATTGTCTTGTCCTCTAGTAGAGTAGCCAATGTTCTTAACTGTTGAGCCACCTCTTCAGCCTCAAGTCCATGGTTTTTGCAAAGTATCAGTTTGCAAATGATTATTTCCATGTATGTTGCACATCAATGTGTGTATGCAAGTAGTGATTTTCTAATGCAAAATATATTTTTAGTAACTTAGTCAAAGAAGATAAATTCCTGAGCAACTTTGACTCTAGGAATGAGGCTGTCTGCTCATCCTCAAAACCATATACTCAAAACCATAAGAATGTAAAATCAGTCGGGTATTAGTGGAGCACACCTTTAATCCCAGCACTTGGGAAGCAGAGTCAGGCAGATCTCTGTGGGCTTGAGACCAGCTCTATAGGAATGAGCTCCAAGACAGCTGGGACTACATAGAGAGACCTTTTCTTAAAAACAAAAATGAAACAAAACAAGAATGTAAAACCAGAGAAGTAAATAATATGGAAACAAGAGAATACGTATCATATAGAATGATCATATACAACAATGAAATGTTCTAGCATATGAAAGAGCACAAAAAAGCTAGTTAACATTAAACCATTTTTGGAAACTTTTTAAACCAGGTAATAATATATTATAAAGAGTTCTATTCCTCTAAACACCGTATTGTAACACCACTTTAGATGACTGTGATATAATTCTTTGTATTTGTATGCACTGCTTTGTCTACCCACTATCATACCATGACACATTTTTTTCCATGACACATTTTGATCCTATTTTTTACTATCTATAACAGCAATTAAAACTTTATATAAATTCTGAGGAGGACAATAGATTTAAAAAAGTACATTCACATCAAAACCTTTAGGAAGTTTAAACCAATTTTCACTTACCCCCAGCAATTGCTTTAAGCACAGCAACTATAAAAACAAACAAACAAACAAACAAACAAAAATTGTTATTTATTAGCTGTTTCATAGTAAGTTAAAATTTCACTTATAGGACAGTAAGACCAACACACCACCGAGACAGCCTTGTATAAAGCTCTTCAAAACATCCC